TGCAAAAATGCTATTCGAGGGTATTATTTGGATATGATTTCTTTACGGATCAAACGAGGTAAAAAAGTAGTCGTCTCGATCGCAAACACTCGAAAAAGAGACCAGACCCCAAATGAGCTCATCCGATGAAGCAGTACACGCCCGAGTTAGCGATGCAGTTGGCAGCTCCACGCGCAAGGCGGGCGCCCGGCAGCCAACCACACGCCCAACTTGGGCGTGCACAGTTTCTTTGGGCGCCCGAGTTGGGCGTTCGGTTCAAACCGTATTTATTTATTTATTTTTTTTTTAAATAAATTTTTAATATTCTTTTCAGGACAATACGTCTAGAGTTGAAGTTGATCATACCGATTATTTTACAACAACTCAATTGTTTGACTCGGGGGACGAGTTAGTGGCTTGGGCTCGGTCCGTTGCAAGAGCTCTTTTCGTGAAATTAATTAGAAAAAGTACCCCCAAAATAAAGAAAGTGTGTCTGACTTGTGACCTGTTCGGAGGGCCTCGAGAAAGTAACGTAGAGCCGTCCTCGAAAAGGTCTGGTAGCAAAAAAGTAAAATGTGGTTTTCAAATCGTCGGAGACCGGCGGTTGGACGATAGATGGGAGCTCAGAATAGTATTTGGGAAGCATAATCATTTTCCGATATACATGTCTGGGCATGGGCTTAGTGCATTGAATGAAGCGGAGTCGAAGATTATCAAGGATCTTTCACAAAGTCATGTGCCGCCCAAGAAGATTTTGGCTAACTTGAGACAAAATGGCTTGGGTCTCGATGCTTATTCGAAACAAATATACAATGAAAAGGCGAAATTGAGAAGATTAGCTAGGGGTGACCGTACAGTGATGCAACATTTGATTGGGTTGCTTGAGAAGCATAACTATTACAAGTGGTTACGTACAGATGAAACAACATGATAAGTGTTCGTTTTGCACAACTTTTACTTATCTAATCTTCGTGTTTTGGTCTTCATTCGTCCGAGTTTTCGGCTTTATTTGTATATATTATGTTGTTTTTGTTTTATTTATATTTTAGGTAAAGAGAAGCTATTTTTGCCGATTCGAAACGATTTTGGAAGCGAAGCCGAAAATCAAACCAAACACGTGCAAAAGTGCATTCTCGCGGATTGTGGCAGTGTTTGGTATTTCAAGCATAACTTTTGCATACGACCTCCGATTGTGCTGATTCAAGTGGATTTAGAAAGCTCACTTCAAGGGCTACAACGTTTGTGAAATGAATAATTGTCAAATTCGGGCTCAAAATGGGTGAAAATAGTGTTTGAAGTTGATGGAGAGGCCAGATCGCGATCCAGAAACACCGGATCGCGATCTGGTGGCAAATTCCAGTAGCAGCGAAAAATGGGGGCAGATCGCGATCCGCACTTCCTGGATCGCGATCTGGGAAGGCGGTGCGCAGTTTTCAAGGTTGCCAGATCGCGATCCAAGAAGCCCAGATCGCGATCTGAGCACAGAAATCGAGACTAGATATTTTTCTTTGATTTCTCACTATAAATAGAAGGTCTCCTTTTCATTTTTCGACATCTCGATTATCTCTCGACTTTTGCTTCGGTTTTCTCTTCGGTTTTCGCCAGTTCTTCGCGGGAAACTTCGACGAGGGTTTCGACTCGGGTTTTTCATAAGCTTTTCTTTACGTTTAGTTTATAATTTCTCGTGTTCTTCATTTTGATGCTATGTTTGTAATGAACTGAGCATTTTCTTTTAGGGAAATGAAACCTTGTATATATTGATTTTGATTTCCAGATCTGTGATCTACTTGTCGTTCTTTGATTATGTTTATGTTTTCCTGTATTAAATGCTTTCGATTGTTTGGCCAACAGTTGAATTGATTCTAAATGGGAATGAACTCGAGAGAGGATTTCTTGTTTGATTTTAGGAAAACATAGCTCGGGTTGTGGAAACGGAGACGTGATGCACCTCGGGTAGCCCTTAAGGACTTGACCTAAATGCTCTCTTAATATCAGGTTCTGAACGGAGACGTCGGACCTGTGGGTAGACTCTAACTACACTGGAGACGGGGGTTAGGGTACTTTAGTGTCTGGGTTAGCGAACATAGAATTGACATTAGATTCGGATTTGTAGATCTTTATCGATAGTACACTGGTGGATTTTACCCTAGAAGCCATCACACGTCAGAATTCCTTGCTTGTCCTGGCGGACCGTTGTTTTTATTATTGTTTCATTTAGCTTCATTTCACCCCCCACCCTTTCGATTGTCTAGATAGAGTTTAGGATAGTATGGAATCTACTAGTGATAGATTTA